GGGGACCCTCGAACCCCCCACTCGCCGGCTACATATACCTTCTTCCCCCTCCCTGCCCGGCTGTGCTCTTCTTCCACTTCCACTTCTTCGTCCCGCACCATTTTCCCGCACTGTACAACCTCCACCACGCTTCGAGCCGATCCATGGATGAATTCCCTCCATGTCCGATCCGCATTTTGTAACGGGGTATCCGGAGACAAATGCTTGAGCTTCGTCTCCCCCTCCCCTTCCCTCCCCCGATCTCCATCTCGATAGACGAAACGAAAAACGATTATGGAGAATGAGAACATCGAATTTCGTCGAATCGAGGAATAATTTAAGATTTCTTTGAAAATTTTCTATATATTCTATCTCTTAATTTTTTTCTTCATAGGTTTTTTTTGTTTTTAGAGCGATTTTAAGAAGGTGTAATAAGGCGTAATTAGAATCGAGTGTTAACGAATCAGATATATAAGAGTTTTTAGAATTTCAATGCAATTTCAACGCTCCATTTTTTTCCCTTCTTAACGTGTCCATTAATTGCAACAAAAGTGAAACGTGCGTATATTGTATGGTGATGACGATTCTTTAAGAAAGAATACTGCAAGTGGTATGGTGTAGTGTATAGTGTGGTATTGGGGCTTATTTTTTTGTACGTCGATCGATAATTAATCAGAATTTTTTTCTTTTTACTACGTCGTTTTGTATCGTATGTTTTGAGCGTTTAATCGGCGGAGGCGAGAATTTCGTAATTTTTACCTTCACCGGGCACACAGACGAACACTTGTATCCGCAAGGGAAACGCGTAAAAGAGTTTATGCACACGTAAGTACACTATTCGAAAACGATTCTTTTTTCTCTTCTTTTGCTCTACATTCCTTTTCCCCCTTTTCTTCTCTTTCCATTGGAATCAACATTGAAAATCGAGATTCAAGTCATTGAAGATCAACATTGATCTTCTGTATGCATTCTGGATTTTAATAAAATATATCCCGAAAGTGTGGTACAAATTCACTGGAAAACTGGTTTTTCACAAATTTTCTCGGAACTGTCAATCCCGAAACGAGGAAATGAAACTGTTAGGTGAATTTTCGAAAAAAAAAAGAAAAAAAAAAAGAAAAGAAACGGTAAGTAACCCTTTCAAAAGAGTTTTTACAGTTACCCTACAAATCCGTGACAATGGTAGAGACCCTGAGAGAGAGAGAGAAAAAAAGAAGCAGAACTTTTGAGGAAGTTCTGAGGGAGAAAAAAAAATTGGTTACCGCTAGTTTACAAATAAATGAACCTATCGACACGAAGAGCTGTTGGAAAGATCTTGGAAAGGTCCCGAAGAAAAATCCCTCCTTCTCTTCGAAGAAACGGAACGGAATTCGCCAATGGCGTAATATTTCTTCTTCCGAATTTTATTTCGAATTTCATCGAGAAATTGGCGATAGAAAAAATAATATTAATCGTCACAAGATTTTTTTTAAAACAATTTTTTAAGAAACGTTTCGCCCAAACGATTTGCCTCGTAATAATTGTTGTATAACTTTCGATTAATTAGGCGTCGAAGCCAACTCCTCCCCCACGCGGCCGCCACGCGGTCGAGGAAGGCCTCTTTTCTTCTCTC